TAGTGTTTTCACAATTATATCCAATACAAGACCACTGTAGCAATAACAAAATACAAAACCTTATACCAAAGCATTTCCTCTTGCTTCGTATATACTGCTTGAATGACAGTCTACCTTTGAACAAAATCAAAAGCTCATCAATAACAGGCTTCCTGAAGGGATAAAAATACAAAGAGAATTTCTCTTTCAGATACAAACACATTCCTAATCTTATATAACCTGTCATTTCTGTCAGGCTTTGTTTTGTCTGAGAAGTGTAGCATATGTAATAGTAGCAGAAATTGATTCACTGGTATTGAATCACTGAGAGCTGGGGTTGAAATCAGGTGGTCTGTTGACCAGTATGATATGACACTGTACTTATACACATGTGGCATAAGCATTATTGTGGCAAAGAACAGATACATCTCAGCCACAGTTGTCTCCTTCCACTGGTGTAGGCATGATCATGGTAAAAGAATTGTGTTTGCCATGGTGTAATCAAAATATCCATTACTTTCCCTAACAATAATTTCCATCAGGGGTTCATCAAAGAATAATTCAAAACATTCCAGTTCAGTGGCACTGTTCCCATGTGTACAAGATGGCCATATTCCACTTTGAGTTTCATCAAAGTGATGGGGATTTGGAACAAAACTGGCACCTTGCTGCCAATCCCAGATGTGGTCTGCTGGTGGGTACTGGATATTGACAGGTGGTTGTGATTGTGGAGGCTGTGGGTGTGGTTGTGCAGGATGGTGTGGGTGGGTGAGGGTGGTCTTTGTTGTAGCTACGCTGAGTCAGTAGTATGGCTACCAGCATGGGCCGCTGATGGTGCCTCATGGGGCATGGCACCACTACCATCTGATGATGCATGCACATTATCCATCCCAACTGTAACAATATCATCATTTTCACTATCTATTCCTGTTGTACGGCCACGGGATATACTCTGAGATGTACTCCTTTCCCTTGGAATAGCATATGGCACACTACCAGAATGCATGTAGCATCGTATATACTGACGCTTCACTGGAGAATATTCCACTTCACTCTCGCTATTGGAACTGTGTTCAAGAGCTTGGATATCATAATCACTATCACTATCATCACCACTGCTCACATCTGAGTCCTGGACACGGGAAAATACGAGTTTCCTCTTTCGTTCTGTACAAATCAATGTGAACAAGACGGCCCAGTGCCAGAGGTGGAAGGTTGAGGGTCATCTGGGTTGTCATCACTATTACCAGTATCCTGGGCATTACTTTCGGTCACAAACTCCCCAGAACCATGAAATTCACCTTCACTGACTCTTCCATCTGTGTTTGAACTATCACTTGGGAACAAAACAGTCCCATTTTGCCAGGGAGTGGGGAGTTTCTTACCACGAGACATTGTAAACAAGGCATACTGAAATGGCGTTCCTACAATGCACTACTGGCTCCCCAATTTTTTTCATACTGTGCACACTGACAACGCAGACCCATTCTCTCACATGTAGGCCTACCAGCTTTCTCCCGCTAGATTTGAAGGCACTAGAATTTTGGAGTAGTATTACAGGACTGACACTGGCTCTCAAGCTATAATACTACAGGACCAACACTGAAAGGGTTAATATAATACAATATTTGGGAGTTGCTTTAACCCTTAAACTGTCCAAACAGATCTACGTTCAGATGCGTAGTGCTCCAAAAGTAGATCTACGTTTTTTTTACATATTTTCAAATATAAGAAAAAAAGTAGATCAAAGTTTTTTTTCACACGTTTTCAAATGTAAAAAAAAAAAAAAAGAAGCTCTACATTTTTTTACATACTTTCAAATGTTGAAAAAACGTAGATCTACGTCTGGACAGTTTAAGGGTTAAACTGATTAGTTGTTTTGGATGGTTTGGTTAGTAGTGAGAAATGAAATGATTTTTAAGCATAGCCCTAAATTTGTATGTAGTCAGGGGATCCATAATCGGTTAAGTAGTGAATTCCAGATCTTCAGGCCCATTATGCGCATTGCATTTTTGCATAGTGTGAGACTGACACAAAGGATGTCAAAGAGTGCCTTGTGCCTTATATTGTGACTGTGTGTTCTGTTGTAGCTATCAAGGAGAAGTTTAAGCAAAGGGTTCATGCTGGAGCTTAATGTTCTGTATATATAGTTGGCACAATAATGTGAGTGTATGTCTCGTACATTTAGTAGGTTCAGGCTTTTGAAAAGTGGTGGGGTGTGCTGTCTGGCACAGGAGTTGGTAATCATCTGCACAGGAAGCAGGGAAGAAGGAAGGAAAGTAGAAGCAAAGGGGAGAATGTTCCTAAAGTGCAGAATGTGGTCATTTTCTCTACTAAGCAAGGACACTTACAATCCCTAATGTTGCACAATTCTAAATTTTTGACATTCAGAGAGATGACTATCTCCACTCTAAAGGTAAAAGAAAAAACTTGGATATGAAAGGAGAATCTCACCATACTGTGAGTAACAAATTATGTATGAAGCACTAGGGCCTGAATTGCTGATGAGGTATGCTACAACCATTTTTTAATTATCCAATAAAGAACTTTGCAATGTACAGTGGAACCTGGGTTTTCATTTGCCCTGGTTTTCATCGAATTCAGGTTTTGACGACTTTTTTCGTCAAAGTATTGTCCCAGTTTTTGTTCATCACCTTGGTTTTCGTCCACCGTACCGAACATGTCCCTCTTCCCACGCCCACACAAAGCATCCCACACACACATTCTGAGTCAGTCTAGCTGTTTCTCATCGAGTGAACATTACCTTGCACATTCATACGAAACGTTTCATAATAATCCATTGTTTTTTGTGCTTGTATATTGAGTGCAGCTACTCAATAAGCCACCGTGGAGCAAAAGAAAGTTCCGAGTGCCAGCCCTTTGATAAAGAAGGCGAGAAACACGATGGAATTCAATGGTGGTAGAGGGTGGTAGTGGTTGTGATGGTGGTAGTGATGGTGGTAGAGGGTGGTAGTGATGGTGGTAGAGGGTGGTAGTGATGGTGGCAGTGGTTGTGATGGTGGAAGAGGGTGGTAGTGATTGTGGTAGAGGGTGGTAGTGATTGTGGTAGAGGGTGATAGTGATGGTGGTAGAGAGTGGTACTGGTGGTGGTAGAGGGTGGTACTGATGGTGGTAGAGAGTGGTACTGATGGTGGTAGAGGGTGGTACTGATGGTGGTAGAGGGTGGTACTGATGGTGGTAGAGGGTGGTACTGATGGTGGTAGAGGGTGGTACTGATGGTGGTAGAGGGTGGTACTGATGGTGGTAGAGGGTGGTACTGATGGTGGTAGAGGGTGGTACTGATGGTGGTAGAGGGTGGTACTGATGGTGGTAGAGGGTGGTACTGATGGTGGTAGAGGGTGGTACTGATGGTGGTAGAGGGTGGTACTGATGGTGGTAGAGGGTGGTACTGATGGTGGTAGAGGGTGGTACTGATGGTGGTAGAGGGTGGTACTGATGGTGGTAGAGGGTGGTACTGATGGTGGTAGAGGGTGGTACTGATGGTGGTAGAGGGTGGTACTGATGGTGGTAGAGGGTGGTACTGATGGTGGTAGAGGGTGGTACTGATGGTGGTAGAGGGTGGTACTGATGGTGGTAGAGGGTGGTACTGATGGTGGTAGAGGGTGGTACTGATGGTGGTAGAGGGTGGTACTGATGGTGGTAGAGGGTGGTACTGATGGTGGTAGAGAGTGGTACTGATGGTGGTAGAGGGTGGTACTGATGGTGGTAGAGGGTGGTACTGATGGTGGTAGAGATAATCTCTCCTCCCTCTCCCCTCCTCGCCATCTTTCATATGCCAACAAGAGTCTTCAATAAAAGTATAAGTGATTTAAATGTTCATTTATCTCTTTCATTAGTGCTTTATATTTACAGTGGTACCCTGAGTTTCGAACTTATTTCATTCCAGAATGCTGTTCGAGTGCCAATACCGAACAAATTTACCCCCATAAGGAATAATGTAAATTAAGATTAGTCCATTTCAGACCCCCAAAAATACACTTACAAATGCATTTACACAAATACACTTACATAACTGTTCGAGTTGGGAGTAGTTCAAAACTTGGGGTACCACTGTATTTCTCATTGTTGTCTGTATGTAAAACTATAGTTTTTTTTTTTTTTTTTTTTTCAACAAGTTGGTCGTCTCCCACCGAGGCAGGGTGACCCAAAAAAAAGAAAGAAAATCCCCAAAAAGAAAATACTTTCATCATCATTCAACACTTTCACCACACTCACACATTATCACTGCTTTTGCAGAGGTGCTCAGAATACAACAGTTTAGAAGCATATACATATAAAGATACACAACATATCCCTCCAAACTGCCAATATCCCAAACCCCTCCTTTAGAGTGCAGGCATTGTACTTCCCATTTCCAGGACTCAAGTCCGACTATAAGAAAATAACCGGTTTCCCTGAATCCCTTCACTAAATATTACCCTGCTCACACTCCAACAGATCGTCAGGTCCCAAGTATCATTCGTCTCCATTCACTCCTATCTAACACGCTCATGCACGCTTGCTGGAAGTCCAAGCCCCTCGCCCACAAAACCTCCTTTACCCCCTCTTTCCAACCCTTTCGAGGACGACCCCTACCCCGCCTTCCTTCCCCTATAGATTTATATGCTTTCCATGTCATTCTACTTTGATCCATTCTCTCTAAATGACCAAACCACCTCAACAACCCCTCTTCTGCCCTCTGACTAATGCTTTTATTAACTCCACACCTTCTCCTAATTTCCACACTCCGAATTTTCTGCATAATATTTACACCACACATTGCCCTTAGACAGGACTATAGTTATTCTCTATAAAATGTATTTTATAAATTAACTGGATTTACATTATTTCTTATGGGAAATATTGCTTCAGTTTTCGTTGAATTCGGTTTTCGCCAGACTCTCTGGAACAAATTAAAAACGAAAACTGAGGTTCCACTGTATAGTGAATGAGGACACATGGAATAAGGAATTATCAATTTATGGTGTATGTAAAGGGTTATGCCTCATTCTTGTGCTTACCTTTACCCTTTTCTGTCAATTTGACTCTTCTGCTAGTTCTTCGCAATGGTTCATTATTTACAGTTTCTGTAGTTTCACTTTCTTCATTACTTTCTTTAAATTTATTGAGTGACTTAAGTTTTGATTCACCACTTTCCAGTTGTTCAGCAGCTTCTGTCTTGATGTCATGTTTCTCTGTACTGTCTATTAAACTGTCTTGAAGAATTTCATTTGGGTCATCAGGATTGAGTTCATTTGTTTTTAGGTGTGATATACATGTATCAATAATGTTAGTGACTGAAGTATTGCCAGGAAGAGAAGCTTCAGATGAAATTGGTATCTCTTGATTGATGTTTGATGGTGGCTCTGTGAAAGATACATACAAACTATTATTTAGGAAGCACAGGAGGCTTCTTTTATAAACAATGTCATATGGCACAGAACAATGTGTACCAAGATCCAAGACAGCTTCAAAACTGGCTATCCTGATGTAATCCACAGAAAAGCCTTAGCAGAAAGGCATCAGATTGACTAATTGTAACAGATAGCTTACCATAGGGAAATGTCTTGGGACTAGTTCTATTCTTGGAATATATAAATTACTTTGATAATGATATTTAAGCTATACAGTATTGAAATTTAATTATTATTATTATTATTATTATTATTATAATAAAAAAGAAGCACTAAACCACAAGGGCTACACAGTGCTGCAGGGCAGGAAGGAAGCGAGGGTATCAGGTGGCAAAAGGGAGAGGGATAATTAGTAGGTTACGGAGAACAGTGGGGCAGTGGATAGTGCAGGGGTAGAGGGTAGCAAGAGATTGAGGTAGAAATGGCTGAGAGGAGTGTGAAAAGTATCATCATCAGAGTTTGTGGAGTAAGTCAGTTGTTGTCAAGAAGTCAATGAGAGAGTCAGGACTAAAGGAGGGTCCATCAGCAAGAAGGGAAGGTAAAGAGAGAGTAGTAGAGCAGAGACGACGCTGGAGGTAAATTCTGCGTGCTCGCTGATAGAGAGGGCAGTCTAACAGAATGTGGCTAACTGATACTAGAACCTGACACGTCTCACAGCGAGGAACAGGGTGCCTCTCCACGAGATACCCATGAGTAAGACGAGTGTGGCAATGCGAAGACAGGAGAGAGTAGTCTCCCAACCTCGACACTGATGACAATAAGACGGCCAGTATCCTATACTCGGTTTAATAGAATGAAGTTTGTTACCGAGTAGATTAGACCAACGTTGTTGCCAACGGGTGTGAAGGTGGGTAGCTATTACAGCAAAATAAATCCGTAAATGGAACACCTCTATATGAAACTGGTAGGCCATGTACTGCTGACCGCGCAGCAGTGTCTGCCTGTTCATTGCCCTGTACGTCAACATGACCAGGAACCCAACAAAAAACAATATCTTTATGCTTGGTAGAGATACAGCGTAGCCAAAGTTGGATACGAAGGACTAGAGGGTGAGGTGTATCAAATTTTCGTATAGCCTGTAGAGCACTAAGGGAGTCTGAGACAACCACAAATGATACAGGCATAGATGCAATATGGATAAGTGCTGCAAGAATGGCATACAATTCAGTTGTAAAAATGCTAGGCGAGGATAGTAAATGTCCTCACACGACACTGTCTGGAAACACTGCTGCGAATCCGACGCCATCAGAAGACTTAGAGCCATCTGTGTACACTGTGATGGCATGAGAATGAGAGTGGAAGTGGTCAAGAAGAAGAGTGGGAATTTATCATAGGCAGTTGGGCTTTCGCGCAAGGGAGTGAGAAAGAATGGACTCGAACAGCTGGAACTTCCCAGGGGGGCAGGGAAAAGTGAGATGTTACATGAACATAGAAAGGTGGTAACTGAAGGGAAGACAAGAGCGAATGTAGTTGAAGAGAAAAGGGACGGAGCAAACAGGGGTGACGAACAAATAAAGAATGTCTACTAACATCGGTGACTATTTTATATATGGAAGGATTGCGGAGATCATGAGAGCGAACATAGTAGTGAAGGCAATGGGCATCATGGCGATCGGATAAGGATGGGATATTCGCTTCTGTATAGAGGCCCTCAACAGGGAAAGAGCGAAAAACACCAAGGTACAACTGTAATCCCTGGTGATGGATGGGATTAAGGCTCGACAGAGTAGTAGGAGAGGCCGCTGAATAGATCTGATCACCATAATTGAGTTTCGATAAAATGAGGGCTGAATGTAGGCTAAGGAGAGTTCGATGATCAGTTTCCCATGAAAGATGAGCAAGGGTTTTAAGAAGGTTCAGTCGGTTGTGACAAGTTGCCTTCAGAGAGGTAATGTGAGGTTTCCAGGATAACCTACGGTCAAAGAGAAGGCCTAGAAACCTGACTGTATCATGTTCAGGGATACGTGAGCCATAGAGGTACAAAGGATTATCGGAGATGACAGAAAGTCTAGTGAAAGTAATTTGGTGAGTTTTGGTACTGGAAAATTTAAACCCATGCGTGGTGGCCCAATTGGAAATATGGTTGACTGCATGCTGAAGAGAAACTGTAATGAGGTGACAGTCAGCACCTGCACAAGCTATAGCGAAATCATCAACATAGAGTGATGACCAAATATTGGATGGAAGACTAGAGGAGAAAAAGTGTTGTGCTCAGAACACATCCCTGGGGGACACCCTCAGCTTGGACAAAGTCCAGGGAGAGCACATTATTAACCCGAACATGGAAATGTCTGTCAGTTAAAAAGTTTTTAAGGAAGGATGGTAGATTGCCTCGGAGGCCTAAGGAGTGGGCTTGGGCCAAAATATTATACCTCCAAGTTGTATCATATGCCTTCTCAAGGCCAAAAAATATGGCAATAACTGAGTGGTTATTCACGAAGGCATTACGAACATACGTATCCAAGCGTACTAAGGGGTCTATGGTAGAACAGCCCTTACGAAAACCATATTGACTAGTGGAGAGACTGTTGCGAGTGTCTAAATACCACATTAAACGTCGATTTACCAGACGTTCCATCACTTTGCAAACTGCACTGGTAAGAGCAATGGGACGATAGTTGGAGGCATTATATCCCATAGTACCTGGTTTGCGGAAAGGGAGAACAATGGCAGATTTCCACAGCTGGGGGAGAACTCCTTGTGACCAAATAAGATTGAAGAGGTGTAAGAGGACTACAAGGGCTGATTGATGTAAATGTTGTAACATCTGAATATGAATGTCATCAGGCCCAGCTGCCGATGATCGGCAAGCTGAGAGTGTCGCCTCCAGTTCCTGAAGTGTAAAAGGCACATTATATGGTTCTTCAATGAGAGAAGAAAAGTCCAAGGGTGCTAACTCTCTGGCAGACTTTGAGGAAAGAAACGTGGGGCATAGATGAAGCCCCTGAGAAATATGGACCAGATGATTGCCAATTTCAATGGCAACGTCAAGAGGGTTTGCTATATCAACACTGGCAACCTGCAGAACAGGAGCCGAGTCAGGAGAGTATTTATCACTCAGTTTCCGTACTTTTTTCCAGACTGCACTCATAGAGGAAACCGAGGTGATGGTGGAAACATAATCTCGCCAGCAAGTGCATTTAGCGTCATGGATGACACGGCGAGCAACCGCTCACTTCTGCTTAAAATCAAGAAGTCTCTCTGTGGTTCTATTGTACCGGTACCTGCCCCACGCAGCACGTTTCAAACGTACTGCCCGAGCATAAGCAGGAGACCACCATGGCACACACTTCTGAGAATGCCTGCATGAGGTTTGGGGGATAGAATGAGAAGCTGCGGTTAAAACCGATGTCGAGAAGAGGTGTAAAAGCTCATCAATGGAGGATGAAGAAGGAACCTCACTAAGTTAGTTGTGAGTAAAGGTTCCAATTTGCCTGATCAAATTGCCAGCGTGGGTTACAAAGAGGTGGTGAATATGAAGGAGAAGTAAGAATGATTGGAAAGTGATCGCTGTCATGTAAGTCCTGTAGAACAGACCAGGCGAAGTCTAGTGCAGTGGAGGAAGAGCAGACCGAGAGAACGATGCAAGAGAGAGTACGAGTACGAGGATCAAAATGGGTGGGAGTACCTGTATTTAAAACATGGAGGGGGTGAGAAGCGAGAAAAGCCTCCAACTGAATGCCACGCGAGTCACAATGAGACCCCCCCCCCAGAGGAGATGGTGGGCATTAAAATCGCCAAGTAACAGAAGTGGTGGCGGTAAGGATGAAACAAGAAAGGCAAAGTCAGGGATAGATAATGCCCAAGAAGGAGAGAGATACAAAGAACATGTTGTAAACCACTTATTCAAGTGGATACGGGCTGCAGTGTAATGCAGTGAGGTATGAACAAATAGCTGACGGTATGGAATATCATTGCGTAGAAGAAGGGCACTTTCATTAAAGGTCCCATCTGAAAAAGGATCTGAAGAATACAATAAATTATAGCCTGAGATGGGTTGGAAAACAGCTGAGTGTAAATTTGGCTCTTGTAAGCAAACACCAACAGGGGAAAACCGGGAAAGCAACATCTGAAGTTCACCCCGATTACCCGAGGCCGCGGATATTCCACTGTAACGATTGGCAACAAGGAAAATACCAGGAATCCGCAGGTAAGGGCACCTATGGACTAGAGGGGTTAGAAAAGTATATGTGCGGTGGCATCGGAAAACGTTCAAGCAGCAAAGGAATGGAGCGTTGCAAAGAATGGAGTTGTGGAGATGGAGGAGAGGGAAGAGAAGGAACAGGAGGTGGATCAGTGTTCATTGAAGTTTTAGTCTCTGTAATATATTCTGAAATAGCTTCAAGTGTTTCTGAATTCAAAGACGTTGTATGGGAGACAATATTGGAGATAGGAGGAGGAGGGTGAGTAAAGATTGGGACAGTAATGGACTGTACTAAAGTAGGGGGGGATGAAAGCGTGTTGGGAACTGGAGAAGTGTGGGAGGCGGCAGAAGAGGGAGAAACTTGGGAGGGGACAGGGGAGGAAGAAACAGAACGAGGAGGAGAGTGAACCTCCACACTTGTAATAGAGCCAGTGAGAGGGGAAGAAGCAGGTACAGAGACTGGAAAGGTAAAATGTGGAGGGGTAAGAAGGGTAGGAGGGGGCAAAGAAGATTTGAGCAAAGGGGATTTTTTGGACTTCTGAGAAGGAGAGCGGCGATTGGTAGAAGGTGTCGTATGAGGTCTTGTCGATACCTGGGCTTGTGAGGGAGAACTCGAAGATGTCAGAACAGACTGAGGTGTTGAAGCAGGGACGTCTGAGCCCAGGACAGCAAAAGAATTAGATACAGGAGTGACTATGGGAGGGGTAACCACAGAGGAGGCTGCAGAAGATGGGACCCCAGAAGGGGGGGGACGTTTTGAAACACAAGAATAAGAAACACGGGGTAGTCTCCCTTGAAGGCAGAGATGAGAAACTGCCATAGCATAAGGGAGACCTTCTGCCTCTTTGAGGCAACGGATTTCACGCTCATTTAAGTAGACCTGGCAACGGCGAGAGTACGAAGGGTGAGCCTCATGACAATTAAGGCAAGAGGGAGGTCGACTGCAAGACATATCAGAATGGTCATCGGCACCACAGACTGGGCATTTGGCTATAGATCTGCAATATTTCGCTGGGTGACCAAATCGCCAGCAATTTCTACACTGTTGCGGTGTAGGGATCACCTTTCAAAATTGTAACCGATGTCCTGCTACATAAACAGAGGAAGGGAGTTCACGGCTGTCAAAAGTTAATCGAGCCACATTGCAAGGGTATCGTCTCTGCCCGCAGGCAGGAAGGACATAAGTGTCTATCTTGAGGATTGGGAGATCTTGGAGTTCCAGCCGTTCAAGAATACCATTGCCACATGTCTGAAAATTCTGTTGGACTATGGTATGGGGCAGAATGACAGTACCACTACAAGAATTGAGGGAATGATGTTTTTTGATAGTGACAGGAATAGTATCAATATGTGAAAGAAGAGAAAGTTCATGAGCTTGGGTAGCATTCTGGACAGTGGATGCACATACCGCTCTTCAGAGCATGAAAGGAAATATCTCTACTAACATGGTGGAGGAGTGCCTTGCCAATACTATGGTCGTAAATACAGGCAATAGAGGAAGTCGGTCGTAAAGTAACGAATTCAGTCCACTGTGCATTCTGAAACCGAGCATGGAAAGGGAGTGCTGGACATGTTGATTTTTTTTTGAGAAGAACGAGGTGGTGGTGAAGTATCATCATCAGGCAATTGTCGTTGGTGTTTAGGAGTGGGACCGGAGTTGATCCAACGTGAAACGGGCTGGTGATTTGAAAACTGCAGCACCGTAGAGGGAGAGGCCGGAAGCATAGTCAAAGGAGAGCGGAGGTCAGACAAATCGAAGGAGTTAGTCGAAACCCCGGTTCCTGAAGTGGGTGAGGAAACAGCACCAGCAAGAGGTACAGGGGCATCAGGAGTATCCGAAGAGTGGTCAAAAAACGAGGCAGGGCCAGAATGGGGTGCGGTATCAAGAAGGGGCCTGGGTGTAGTAGGTTCATGGACTGGGTTCTCCATGGTTAGGTTACTTCTTTTCTTTTTGTTTTTAAGAAAAAAAAAGAAAGAAGAAAAGAAAGTAAAAACAAAAAACATAAAAAAAAGGGGGGAGTGGGAACGAATAGTTCCGAGGAGGAATGAAAGGGCTGGAAATCTCGATCTGTGCCCAAGAGGACCTCAGCACTGCAAGTAGCGCAGATGCAGCATGGAACCCATGCCATACCCTACCCTTCATGCCAGTAAACCAGCAATCCGGGATAGCAACCTCACATCTGCCGAGCTACCTCAGTGGACAAAAGAGAGGGCAACCGGATATCCGTCACAAAGCATACCTCCTTCGGCCACCACCCCCGGAATCTGAAAGGCAGCTTCCAGAGATACACCCTTTGCCTGAAAGATGCCCAAAGCCACCCTGTGAGATACCGGAGAGGGATTGGGACATCCCCAAGCAATCCAGATTCCACGGCAAACTACGCCACCGCCAAGAACCTCAATGGAATGGGATGGACCCCGGTACCCTTCCCCCTACCTAGGAACCAGCATGCCTGTGGGAAGAATCCTACAGGCCATAAAAAGGAAGGGAATAAGGATGGGACAGGGAGGAGGAGGAGGAAAGGGAAAAGGGAGGATGGGATAGGGAAGGGGGGATTGGGGGGTAATTAGGTTCGGTCTGAGGAAGGAGACCAACAGGTCTAATTCCTGAGACCAAGAGCCTCTTCACTGCACCAAGGGGCCCCCCTTGAAATTTAGGCTGGGCAGTATAAAAATTTGTTGAAGACATTAAACTTGGGAAGAAAGTTAGACAACTTAGCAAGTTGGACTAACAAATGGTATATTAATTTCAATGTTAATAAGTGGTGCAAACAGAAAACCACTACACAAATGGCTCACAAATAGGAGAAAGAAACTTATGACAATGTTTAAGTCCAACTTGGACCATTAAATATCATAAATTACTTTCTCCTATGTGCAGGTTGTGGATTGTTCTAGTCGTGGTATTGTGCCTTTTTATTGTTCAGAAAATCACTATTAAAAAAGACAAAAATTTTGCACAATTACTTCCTATCACATGACCTCTTAACTAGACAGTGTAAGATTTGAAAAACATCGCCTGGTCTGATGAATAACAATTTCTGGTGCAATGTGCAGATGGTAAGGTCAGAATTTGGCATATACCTTTGGGATGTGGTGGAATGGGAGAATTGCAGCATGAATGTGCAGCCAACAAATATACAGCAACTGCGTGATGCTATCATATCAGCATGGCCTTGTTGAATCTATACCATGAAGAATTTAGGCTGTTCTGGAAGCAAAGGGAGGGCCTACTCAGTACTAGAAGGGTGTACCAAATAAAATGGCCACTGAGTGTAGGTAAAATGCATGCGGATACCTCCAGCAGATTTTTTGGCTAGCTTGGTTTAACGCTTAGTGATTGCACTAAGATTAAGCAATTATACATGAAGTTAACAAACCTGAGATGCAATTGACACTACGGTTGATTTTAAACTTGACCTGACGTGGCGTGTTATTGACAGATGAGGGTACAGCTGAGTGAAGCTCTTCTACTGGGACACTTTTGGAGGTATTATCTTGAAGACTTCTTTGATTGTCTGGTAGTGATTCATTTTCTGTTAAAATGCTCCTTACATTTGAACCACACCCTATGTACATAGGATCCCCATCCATTGACTCTGAAGGGCACCCTTTATAAGTAGAATTCCCATCCATGGGTCCTCCAACAAGGGTAATAATACCCCTTGTCTCCAAACCACACTCTGAGGATAACCTCTTTCCATCCAGTATCAAATCTTGTGTAACTATTTCTCTGGACCCTGGAGTTAACATTGAATCCTCACCCAACCTGCTCATATCTCTGTGGAATTTGTTCATGGTGTTATTTTTTAAGGGATAGTGTTCATAGTGTGCATCCTCTGCTAGAAGTCTCTCTGGTATACCATTAGTTAGTGAAGTATCTGCTGAATCTTCAACTGCAGATATGTCTTGATTTTGTGGTACAGCATGTTTCATTTCCGAGCACTGAGGGAACTGGTGTTGAACTGTCATGTCTTGTGGGCAATTAGACATCTGTGTATCCGTAGAGTTTTCATTGTAATACATATCTCGCTGATTGCAGTTTATGTCTTGAGTGTTTGTCAACTCATCATGGTAATATGATTTTGCATAATTTTCTTGATTATGATGGGATTCAATAATAATATTATGTTGGGTGTCTTTGACATCAGTTGGTCTGCAAGGATAGAAACTAATACCTGGATTAAAATTTTCATCATAGGGAAATGACTGCGTACTCTGGTCATCCGAGACAGTCATATCATCATCAGGATTATACGTGCTAACGTAATAGGATACAGCACTGGCAAAGCTTTGTTTGTTTTTAATAGGACTTTCTCTAACAGGATAACCATTAGAAGGGTTAACCCTGGAATTGTAGGAATCAGAACAAAGAACTTTCATACTGAAGTTTTGATCATACAATTTTCTTTGGTACATGTGACTTGAATCAGATGAGAGAGATTCTTCAGCACCATAGGGAGCCTCCTGATGCCAAACACCTACATTTCGCATGAAAGACTGTCCAAAATGTCCCTGACTGTTACAGGAAAACTTGTCATCTGTTGTAGTAGCATCCCCAACAGAGTCATCAGAAATATGAGAATGGCAACCAACAACATTAGACACAGGAGGCGGATGAGAAAAAATTAAATTTGTCTGGTTCACGTGGACATCCTGAGAACTGTGTCCGATACGGCACATGTCATATTGGTTATGTTGCTCATTCTCTTGATCATCACATCCTCTTCTGGAACTGATATGAAAGTTATTAATTTTATGGTGCAACTGAATGGTGGCTGGGTTAGTTTTATCCTCTTCACTGTCTGAGGGAAGATCTTGTGGGGTGTGAGAAGGTGGAGCAGTGTGAGTGGTAAAGTCACTGACATTTGGTACAGTTTCTTGGCTTCTGCCACTACCAAGTTGGTCCTCTTGAAGTTCATCAATTGCAGTAGATATTGCAAGGCTCAGGAAGGTTTCATTGTCCACAAACGAGTCTGTCGACTGAAAAACAAAATTACCGTGATTGCAACTATGAGATGCATAAAATGCTTTACTTCACGAATAAAATAATGATGGCTCTTTATTAGCATTCAGAAACACTGAAATGTGAATATTAGTAAAGCAAAGCCAATACATACAGTTGCCTTGCTTATTCCTGAATCCGTTAATGTATTTAAAATTCAAATTGTCAAAATCCTTATTTTAAATGACTGTATGAATATATAAATAAATTGGAGGAGTATGGAGAAAGTGGAGAGAGAGAACATGTCAGTTGATGGGTCTATAAGAAACAATGTGAACTACAGACTAGATAAACGACTGCTGTGAAAAGTATGGCTGTGGCAAAAACCTCTGCTTCAATAATGAGAAAATAGGAAAATGCCATGTGTTCATTGAGAGATAGACTAACAATAACTGTTTTATTTTGCACACTGATACAGGTATGAATCATGTCACAAGAACTAATCCTTGTCTCAATAGGAAGTGTAAACAAACAAGATCAGTTCACTGAAAGGATCTGTTTCAAGAGTAGAGCATCTAAATTTAACAGCTTTATGGTAAAAATGCAACTGCAGTGTAGGCACTGACAGTCATTAGGCAGATTGACAACATGGGAAAGAGCTGTGTAACACACTGACTGACAAGCAAAAACATTTTAAACATTTTTTGTTTGCACTGGAAGGGAGCAATGACATTCTAGACACTGCTAAACTACTACTTCTTTTAACAAACCTGCCATATCCCACCATCGCAGGGTGGCCCAAAAAGAAAAACGAAAATTTCTCTTTTTAAATTTAGTAACTTACACAGCAGAAGGGGTTACTACCCCATTGTTCCCGGCATTTTAGTCTCCTCTTACAACACGCATGGCTTATGAAGGAAGAATTCTGTTCCACTTTCCCAAGCAGATAAGAGGAAATAAACAAGAACAAGAACTAGTAAGAAAATAGAAGAAAACCCAGAGGGGTGTGTATATATATGCTTGTACATGCATGTGTAGTGTGACCTAAGTGTAAGTGGAAGTAGCAAGATGTACCTGAAATCTTGCATGTTTATGAGACAGAAAAAAGACACCAGCAATCCTACCATCAGGTATAACAATTACAGGTTTCTGTTTCACACTCACTTGGCGAGATGGTAGTACCTCCCTGGGTGGTTGTTGTCTACCAGTCTACTACCTAGAATACCTCCCCAGGTGGTTGTTGTCTACCAGTCTACTACCTAGGATACCTTCCCAGGTGGTTGATGTCTACCAGTCTACTACCTAGGATAACTTCCCAGGTGGTTGATGTCTACCAGTCTACTACCTAGGATACCTCCCCAGGTGGTTGTTGTCTACTAGTCTACTACCTAGGATACCTTCCCAGGTGGTTGATGTCTACCAGTCTACTACCTAGGATACCTTCCCAGGTGGTTGATGTCTACCAGTCTACTACCTAGGATACCTCCCCAGGTGGTTGTTGTCTACTAGTCTACTACCTAGGATACCTTCCCAGGTGGTTGATGTCTACCAGTCTACTACCTAGGATACCTCCCCAGGTGGTTGTTGTCTACCAGTCTACTACCTAGGATACCTTCCCAGGTGGTTGATGTCTACCAGTCTACTACCTAGGATACCTCCCCAGGAGGTTGTTGTCTACCAGTCTACTACCTAGGATACCTCCCCAGGTGGTTGTTGTCTACCAGTCTACTACCTAGGATACCTCCCCAGGTGGTTGTTGTCTACCAGTCTACTACCTAGGATACCTCCCCAGGTGGTTGTTGTCTACCAGTCTACTACCTAGGATACCTCCCTAGGTGGTTGTTGTCTGCCAGTCTACTACCTAGGATACCTCCCCAGGTGGTTGTTGTCTACCAGTCGACTACCTAGGATACCTCCCCAGGTGGTTGTTGTCTACCAGTCTACTACCTAGTATACCTCCCCAGGTGGTTCTTGTCTACCAGTCTACTACCTAGTATACCTCCCCAGGCGGTTGTTGTCTACCAGTCTACTACCTACGATACCTCCCCAGGTGGTTGTTGTCTATCAGTCTACTACCTAGGATACCTCTGCAGGTGGTTGCTGTCTACCAGTCTACTACCTAGTATACCTCCCCAGGTGGTTGTTGTCTACCAGCCTACTACCTAGTATACCTCCCCAGGTGGTTGTTGTCTACCAGCCTACTACCTAGTATACCTCCCCAGGTGGTTGTTGTCTACCAGTCTACTACCTAGGATACCTCCCCAGGTGGTTGTTGTCTACCAGCCTACTACCTAGTATACCTCCCCAGGTGGTTGTTGTCTACCAGTCTACTACCTAGTATACCTCCCCAGGTGGTTGTTGTCTACCAGTCTACTACCTAGTATACCTCCCCAGGTGGTTGTTGTCTACCAGCCTACTACCTAGTATACCTCCCCAGGTGGTTGTTGTCTACCAGTCTACTACCTAGTATACCTCCCCAGGTGGTTGTCTACCAGCCTACTACATAGTATACCTCCCCAGGTGGTTGTCTACCAGTCTACTACCTAGTATACCTCCCCAGGTGGTTGTTGTCTACCAGCCTACTACCTAGTATACCTCCCCAGGTGGTTGTTGTCTACCAGTCTACTACCTAGTATACCTCCCCAGGTGGTTGTTGTCTACCAGTCTACTACCTAGTATACCTCCCCAGGTGGTTGTTGTCTACCAGTCTACTACCTAGTATACCTCCCCAGGTGGTTGTCTACCAGTCTACTACCTAAGATACCTCCCCAGGTGGTTGTTATCTACCAGTCTACTACCTAGGATACCTCTGCAGGTGGTTGTTGTCTACCAGCCTACTACCTAGTATACCTCCACAGGTGGTTGTTGTCTACCAGCCTACTACCTAGTATACCTCCCCAGGTAGTTGTTGTCTACCAGTCTACTACCTAGTATACCTCCCCAGGTGGTTCTTGTCTACTAGTCTACTACCTAATATACCTCCCCAGGTGGTGTTTACCAGTCTACTACCTAGTATACCTCCCCATGTGGTTGCACTCTACCAGTCTACTACCTAGTATACCTCCCCAGGTGGTTGTTGTCTACCAGTCTACTACCTAGGATACCTCCCCAGGTGGTTGTTGTCTACCAGCCTACTACCTAGTATACCTCCCCAGGTGGTTGTTGTCTACCAGTCTACTACCTAGGATACCTCCCCAGGTGATTGTTGTCTACCAGTCTACTACATAGGACACCTCCCCAGGTTGTTGTTGTCTACCAGTCTACTACCTAGTATACCTCCCCAGGTGGTTGTTGTCTACCAGTCTGCTACCTAGTATACCTCCCCAGGTGGTTGTTGTCTACCAGTCTACTACCTAGGATACCTCCCCAGGCAGTTGTTGTCTACCAGTCTACTACCTAGGATACCTCCCCAGGTGGTTGTTGTCTACCAGTCTACTACCTAGGATACCTCCATAGGTGGTTGTTGTCTACCAGTCTACTACCTAGTATACCTCCCCAGGTGGTTGTTGTCTACCAGTCTACTACCTAGGATACCTCCCCAGGTGGTTGTTGTCTACTAGTCTACTACCTAGTATACTTCCCCAGGTGGTTGTTGTCTACCAGTCTACTACCTAGTATACCTCCCCAGGTGGTTGTTGTCTACCAGTCTACTACCTAGTATACCTCCCCAGGTGGTTGTTGTCTACCAGTCTACTACCTAGGATACCTCCCCAGGTGGTTGTTGTCTACCAGTCTACTACCTAGGATACCTCCCCAGGTGGTTGTTGTCTACCAGTCTACTACCTAGTATACCTCCCCAGGTGGTTGTTGTCTACCAGTCTACTACCTAGTATACCTCCCCAAGTGGTTGTTGTCTACCAGTCTACTACCTAGTATACCTCCCCAGGTGGTTGTTGTCTACCAGTCTACTACCTAGTATACCTCCTCAGGTGGTTGTTGTCTACCAGTCTACTACCTAGTATACCTCCCCAGGTGGTTGTTGTCTACCAGTCTACTACCTAGGATACCTCCCCAGGTGGTTGTTGTCTATCAGTCTACTACCTAGGATACCTCCCCAGGTGGTTGTTGTCTACCAGTCTACTACCTAGTATACCTCCCCAGGTTGTTGTTGTCTACCAGCCTACTACCTAGTATACCTCCCCAGGTGGTTGTTGTCTACCAGTCTACTACCTAGTATACCTCCCCAGGTGGTTGTTGCCTACCAGTCTACTACCTAGTATACCTCCCCAGGTGGTTGTTGTCTACCAGTCTACTACCTAGTATACCTCCCCAGGTTGTTGTTGTCTACCAGTCTACTACCTAGGATACCTCCCCAGGTGGTTGTTGTCTACCAGTCTACTACCTAGTATACCTCCCCAGGTTGTAGTTGTCTACCAGTCTACTACCTAGGATACCTCCCCAGGTGGTTGTTGTCTACCAGTCTACTACCTAGTATACCTCCCAGGTGGTTGTTGTCTACCAGTCTACTACCTAGGATACCTCCCCAGGTGGTTGTTGTCTACCAGTCTACTACCTAGGATACCTCCCCAGGTGGTTGTTGTCTACCAGTCTACTACCTAGGATACCTCCCCAGGTGGTTGTTGTCTACCAGTCTACTACCTAGTATACCTCCCCAGGTGGTTGTTGTCTACCAGTCTACTACCTAGGATACCTCCCCAGGTGGTTGTTGTCTACCAGTCTACTACCTAGTATACCTCCCCAGGTGGTTGTTGTCTACCAGTCTACTACCTAGGATACCTCCCCAGGTGGTTGTTGTCTACCAGTCTACTACCTAGTATACCTCCCCAGGTGGTTGTTGTCTACCAGTCTACTACCTAGGATACCTCCCCAGGTGGTTGTTGTCTACCAGTCTACTACCTAGTATACCTCCCCAGGTGGTTGTTGTCTACCAGTCTACTACCTAGTATACCTCCCCAGGTGGTTGTTGTCTACCAGTCTACTACCTAGGATACCTCCCCAGGTTGTTGTTGTCTACCAGTCTACTACCTAGGATACCTCCCCAGGTGGTTGTTGTCTACCAGTCTACTACCTAGTATAC